GCAGCCACTATGGAAAACAGGATGGAAATTCCTCAAAAGATTAAAAGTAGAACTAGCATATAATTTAGCAATCCCACTTTTGGATATATTTCCAAAGAAAATGAAATGAGTAGGTAGGTCAAAGAGATATTTGCAAACCCAGGTTCATTGCACATTTATAATAGTCAAGACATGGAAACATAGAAATATAAAATATACACAATACAATGTAATATTCTTTAGTCATAAAGAGAAAAAATTCCTGCCATTTGTGATTACATGGATGAAACTTAAAGACATTTTGCTAAGTAAAATAAGTCAGATGTAGAAAGACAAATACTAAACATTCTTACTTATATGTGGAATCTAAAAAAAATAAATAAACCCGAACTTATCTAATAGAGAACAGATTGGTGGTTACCAAGGGCAGGGAGCGGGGAGTGAGGGAAATGGGTGAAAGTGGTCAAAAGATACAGACTTCTAGTTATAAAATGAATAAACTCTGGAGCTGAAATATACAGTGAGATGACTGTAGTTGACAAGACTATACTGTATATTTGAAAGTTGCTAAGGAAATAGATTTTTAAAAGTTCTCACCACACGCATAGGTGATGGATGTGTTAAATAACCTTATAGTGTTCATCATTTTGCATTATAGACCTAGATAGCCCCAAATCATTATTAAACTTACACAATCTTATGTCATTATATCTCAATAAAACTAGAGAAAAAAACAAAGCAAAATTTGTATTATTTACATGAAATGTTCCTTTCTACTTAAACACATTTTTTTTTTCAGTTCCTTTATATAGGCCTCTTGAGAATAGCCGTTCTTTACAGTGAGAGAGAACTGTCTACAAGTCGGCAGGATGTCATTCCCTAACTGTCCTCAACTGTGCTTCCCTGTCCATTTCACTTGGTTATTTTTTTTTTTTTCTGCAAATGTCAACTGCCTGTTTCTCCATCACCAATTTCACCGTCCATTTCAAACCTCTGATGAGCCTCCAATATCCACTAGGGCTAATATTTTTCACTTTGCCTGTATACTCAGCAGAATATAATTTATGCTTTCTTTTTGAACACCAATTCCAATGCAAATATCTGTGTGGTTTATAGGAACTGCATGGCACATTTTTTCTGCTTTGTGGCTATGTCTTTTCAGCAGATCTACCTATGGTCGTATGTATTTTTTCTGATAAAAGGCACAATTTGGGTTCGACAAGCACTTGTTAAAATTTGCTACTCTTTCAACAATATTGAGCATATATGGATCGTCTACCATGTACCAAGCACTGTTATGAAGATTCAGCAGTTGTAAAACAAAAAGTCTTGCTTTCATACTTCTTATATTCTAGATGGACAAAACAAAAAATAATTATAATAGGTTGGATTGTGATAGGCTCTCTGGGGGAAAAACGTAGGATACAGATTAGGAAATGCGTAGGGGTGTTTGCAATTTTTAAAGGGTTTTCAGAAAAGCTCTCATCATGAAGGTGATGACTTCTGAGTAAAGAGCTGGTGGAAATTAGGGAGCAAACCATGTGGATATCTGGGCCAAGAACTTTTCAGGCAGAGGGAGCAGCACCCAGTGCAAAGGCGCACGCAGGCTGTCACAAGCAGTAAGGAGTATTATTGTAAGCATCTGCCAGGGACAAAAATTCAGGCAAGGCTTTTTTTGTTGTTGCTATAAAGAATCTACCTACAACAGAGTTTAATCAGCTTAAGATGAACATCAGTGCAGATCTGTTTAGTGTTCTTTCTCAGCCATGACCTCATTGCTAATACTGACAGCCTGGACTGCCTCTTAGATTTGGATGAACCTTGGACATGCAGCCTGGCAAACCTGGATGAAACCAGAAAAGAGAGGTTTGATTGCTCTGTAGGCCCGATGCTCCTTTACCTCATTTTCTCTCTACATGGGGCCGGATATTAATCATATGTAGTCATTGATTCCAAGTTTTAATTTAACCTAAAACATGTCCATTACTATATATGAACTAAGAAGATAATATACTAGAACTCTACCTCAAATGAGCTAATGGTAATTTCTGTCCCACAGACAGCCAAGACATAAGGCTACTGAGAGCAAAGGTGGCTCCCGTGCCATCAAACTGTTTTTTCAATGTTATTTTCTTCTAGTCAGGGCAACATAGTAAGGAGGTCATTACTAACATTAAGTCTCATATAGAATTTCCAGAGATTGTCCCACTTATATTCAACCAATAGAAATAATCTGCCCTGGACCTTTTTTTTTTTTTTTTTTTTTTTAGGATTTTATTTATTCACAAGAGACACGCAGAGAGAGGAAGAGACATAGGCAGAGGGAGAAGCAGGCTCCATGCCGGGAGCCCAATGTGGGATTCAATCCTGGATCCCAGGATCGTGCCCTGAGAGAACGGCAGACGCTCAACCGCTGAGCCACTCAGGCATCCATGCCCTGGGCCATTCTATCCTAGCTAACACAGTGGTATAACAGTGCTCTGCTACTCAAGCTAGCCACACCTCCTTCTCAGGATTTTCTAATTTACTGAGGAGAACATTTTCCTAAAGCTTCTGTGATGCCATAGGAGCCTACTCTCAGCCTTGATGAGGATAAAGCATTATTAAGAACTCAACACATAGACACTTGAAAGCAGGTTTAGTTTATTTTAGCCCACCTTTGATTTGTTTGGAGACTGAACTCCTTACACAGGAAGATCAGTACTTATTTCATGAGAATAAAGGCTTAAGAGACAACCAAGATTTCTTTAGCAAAGAGAAGCTGATTGACCATCTAAACAGGTCATGATGACTTATAAGTAACTAAAAAATAGGATTTTAGGACATTAGTAGTTCTCTGTGTGGGTCATTTGGATTTGCTTTAGATGACTGATTTAATTGGCTATGGTAGAATTTGAACATACCCCGAAAACCTTTAAAATATGGCTAGGTATGCAGTTTTAGATCCAAATCAAGTATTGATCATTATGACTGTGGCCTGGTATAAATTTAGAATTATTGTAATGTGTTGAGGTTGTTCCATACTTATATTTAGGAGAGGCCAGAGAGGATATTTCTATAATGAAACTATGTTGTAATCAAATCAAAACTTAGTAATTTACTGACCTTTTTCTTTATTTCACATATTTTGATCTGTTAAAGTTTTTGTTTCTGATATGCTAAAAAAGTCATAGCAAAGAAGCTACTTACTTTTTCCCTCATGAAAGAGTGCAATTTCCTAATTAATGAAGTCTTTTAGGTGGAAAAACTAACACAATAGATCAATTACACCAAATTTGAAAGATAAAGTTTTTGCTCTATGTATAATTAAAATATATGTTATTGTGGAAAGAAAAGCATACGTAGTAGGCTATCTTCACTTGTAAAATTTCTTTTGAACTAATGGGAACTTATCTCATACAGGAGATTTGTGAACTGTTTGTAAATTCTCTACCAATCATATACTCCACAGCTTTAAGCTGTGATGTGCTAGGATAGAGGGCTTATAGATTCAAGTTAGTTTACCTAAGTTGGATTCTTAGCTCCCTACTTACTAGCTGAGTAATCTCAGACAAGACTTTTAGCTTTTTTGTGCTATAGTGGAGAACGTCATGGGGATAATAATAGTATCCACCTTGCGGATTATAGGAGAACTAAATGACATAACACATAAAACATTCTTAGGCCAGTGGCTGGCATGTGATGAACGTTCATTAAATGTTAGCTATTATTCTAGTGTTTGATAAAGTGAGGAACTACCACCAGTCTTAATGGGAAGTACTGGATGCAATTTTTGTATTTTTTTTAATTGGGTTTCATCTACTTTTCACAGAAGCTAGTATGCTTTTTGGTCTGAGAGCACAAGGAAACAGAGACGGATGGCTCCTCTAAGTGAAACTAACCCCTGAACATAGTGTCTAAAATCACAGGAAGCTTGTCAGTGTGGGCGGACACCAAGAGCAGACCAATTTGATAACTCCCTTCTCTCTCCATCTCTCTCTCTCTCTTTTTTTTAATGTCATGGAAATTAATGGAGAGAATCTGATGTATACCTTTAATTTAATTGTTCCCGCATAAGGTTTATAACCTTGGTCTGCTATAGGGGTAAACTTGGGTTTTTGATAGTCATCCAAAAATCTTTGTATCTCTCCAGTTTCACTGCAGAATAAAAACTAAATTTACCACAGTGGATTGTTACATTAAGTCTGGTATTTATTTCTCCCAAGAGGCCATCTGCTTCTGGGGAAAGGCAACGGGGTGCCCTCCATTAATATAACCAATTGATGGCGTAAGGATGTACAATTCGTTGTTGACCCTTGCAATTCAGCTATTGCCTTGGAATGCAAGATTTGCTTCTCTTTTCACTGCATGACCTCAAACGTTAAGGGTAGGTAGACTTTTATAAAGAGCATTGGCCCGTCGTTCGATCCAGCTTCTAGACTTTGCTTTTGATGCCCTGAAGTTCTTTTGATCAATCGGCCCACTAAGCCACGAAAACTGAGGTTACTGAAGCTAGATGGGAAGGGATGGGTTCTTCTGGTTCCACCTCGAAAACGTCCCAAAAGAGCAGGTGTACTTGCAAAGTTAAAGCAGGGTCGTCTGTCTCAAGTTGCACAATCGGCGCAGGAGGGTGGAGCCCTCGCCACTGGCTCACCCGAGTGTGTGTGTCTGTGGGTGTCGGGGCACGCGCAGGACACACACGGACCCACTTTCCTAGGGCAGCCCAAACTCCGGCGCTCGCCTCCAAGGCTGTCAACTCTCACGCCTCTCCCTGGGGCGCACGGCTGGCCCCCTCCCCACTCCTCTAACTCCCTCACGCCCCGCCCCCAAGGCAGCATGCGCCACTCTCATTGGTAAGTGCTCCCCTCACTCCTACGCCGCGGCCAACCACTCGAGAGCTGGTGGAGCGCGGCGGAGCCAATGGGAGTGCTCGTTGCGGCCGCTGCCGGGTCCGAGCGCCGGGAGGCGGTGCCGGGGGCGGGGCGCGGGTGGGGAATCAGTTGCCATTTGGGGTGAGGAGCAGGCGGAGGCGGAGGCGGCGGCGGCGGCGTTTGCGGTGGCGCGGGCTCCGCGGGGAGCTAGACCCCTCCAGGCCCTTTCCTCTGCCCCGATCCCCAGAAGCAGGGGTCTGGGCCCTCCCTGCAGTTGGCGGGCGCTCCCGCGCGTGCAGCCCTGCGAGGCGGCGAGCGGCCCCTGAGGCGGCGTGCGCCGGACTGTGGTCCCGCTCCCCTGTCAGCGCGATGCCCGGGGCGGCGGCGGCGGCGGCGGCGGCGGCGGCGGCGGCGGCGGCTCCGGGCTCCTCGCGGCCCCGGCCGTGACCGCCACCCGGAGCCCGGCGCGGCGGTTGGGGCCGTTGGGCGTTTGTTGTCGCAGCCTTCCCCTCCCCCTCGCCGCGGCGCCGAGGCTCCGAGGCGGCGGGGGTGCGCGTTGGGAAGGGGAGCGGGAGACTCCTCCTCCCCGGTGCCCGCGCCCCTCCCCCTTACACACTCGCACGCACTGCCGCGCCGGCTCCCACACGCTCGCGCGCCTCCGGCTCCGCGCCTCGGTGTCGGCCGGCGTCGTCCCGGGCCCTGGGAGCCACCATGTCCACTGCCTCCTCCTCCTCCTCCTCCTCCTCCAGTTCCTCTCAGACCCCTCACCCCCCGCCGCAGAGGATGCGGCGCAGCGCCGCGGGCTCCCCGCCCGCCGCCCCCTCGGCCGGCAGCGGGAGCGGTGCGGGCGGCGGCGGCGGCGGCGGCGGCGGCGGCGGCGGCGTGGGGTGCGCCCCGGCTGCGGGAGCCGGCCGGCTGCTGCAGCCCATCCGCGCCACGGTGCCCTACCAGCTCCTGCGCGGCAGCCAGCACAGCCCCACGCGCCCGCCCGCCGCCGCCGCCGCCGCCGCCGCCGCCGCCGCCTCCTCCTCGCTGGGCAGCCTCCCGGGGCCCGGCGCGGCCCGCGGCCCCAGCCCGCCCAGCCCTACGCCGCCGCCGGCCGCGGCCCCGACCGAGCCGGCGCCGCGGGCCAAGGGCCGCCCGAGACGGTCCCCCGAGAGCCACCGGAGGAGCACCTCACCTGAGAGACGGAGCCCCGGCTCGCCCGTGTGCAGAGGTAGCGAGCCCAACCCTTCGGGCCTCCCGGGCGGCGGCTTCCCCGACGGTTCGGTCCGTGGAAACTGCAGCCTCTCCGGGCTTCTCTTTGCTAGTGCATTACCGAAGGTGTGAAAGTGGCTTTGGGAACCTCACCTCCCTGCGGTCGCCGCGGGGCTGCGGGGCTCGGAGGAGCGAACTGCACAGCAACTTTTACTTGACCCACATGCCGCCCCTCAGATTTTATCTTCCATCACTCGCCTGCATCGAAAGGTTTTTTTTTTGTTTTTTTTTTTTTCCCTTCCAGTTTGTGAGCTGATTAGCCCGCTCACGTACGTGTGTGCTGTTGGTAGCGGGGGAAGGAGGAGCTGGGCAAAACACTTAAAAACACACGCACACAAACTCTGGCAGCCCGATAAGGTAGCGGGTTGTAATCTGCAGCCTCTTTGTGCTTCCCTGCAAAGTTCCTCGCAGTGTCCCTGAGACTACTGGGATATGTATGAATACATTTCTTTTTTGGAAGGGTGATCTGTTGGATGTGTAGGGGAGACAGTTGTGAATGTGCAGTTGAAGTGTGCTGTATAGGGTGGCGGTGGTGGTGGTGGTGGTGGTGGTTGGATGGTGGGGATTTTTTTTTTTTTTTTTTTTTTTGGTCTCCCTCTTTTCTCTACTTTATATAGTCATATGCATCACAGCAGTACTTCCCTGGACACCGTCTATGCCCAACTCAGGATTTTCATGGTAAATTTCTAAAGACCTATTTGTGGAGTGTGCTCACTTTTTCCTTCCATTTTTAAGTACACTTAACAGTTGAGTTGAGCTGTTAAAGGATCTCAAGTTTCTTTTTTGTTAGGTGTCAAAGGTAATGGTGAGCTAGTGGATGCTGTCGGCTTCCCTTAATGTTTTGTGTTTTGGTTTGGTTTTGTTTATGTCTGGGGACACAGTGCATGATCTAGTTGAGTCCTGGGGGAGAAAAGGAAGATTAGCCAAAACAGGGACTTAAAGCTCATAAGGGAGAGTGGAGTAGCTAATATAATTAGATGCCAGGCTAGAGCTACAGATGCTGCTGCTGCTGCTGCTGCTGCTGCTGCTGCAGCAGCAGCATTGTGGAGACAACTGATCATACCGAGTGGAAAACTCTCTGCTTGGAAGGGTAACACTGTGGAGCTCTCTGTACGTTTATGTGGTATGTGGAAATTTTTTTAATGGAGTTTTGTTTTTAAACGAAAGACTTAGAGAAAAGTGATTATGTTATGATGGATTGCAGTTTGGCTGGTTTTTGGTTTTTTTGTTTTTTTTGTTTTTTTTTTAAATACTTCTGGCTGATAAATTAGCATGTTGCTAAGGCACTTGTTTTCAGACCACTTGATGGTGTGGCAGAGTAGGATGTAGTGCAATGGTATGTGTACAGGAGCACCAAGAAATACCTCCTGTAATCTGTATGCACCAGGAGGAATTTGCTCCCCCACTCCTCCCCCAGGTCAGGCCAGCTGCTGCAGAAACTGACATCCTCCAGCAAATCCTGAATGAATGAATGAAAACAACGTGATCGCCCTAATAATGACCACAACCGAACACAACATCTTTGGCTGTATTTTATAGAAAAGGCCACCATTTTCTAACAGATTAATGCCATATGCAGCTCCCATGCACATTTTCTGGAGCTATATGAAATGAGAGGTAAAGGAACGAATAGAAGGCAGCAGTTAAGAGAAATTTTTGAGTGATTTAGCTTCAACAGTACATAGATTGAGTTTTGGGATTTTCTTTTAGGGACTAATGTAACAGCCATAAAATAACCATTTCAGACTGTGTACACAGGGTTTTGTGGGCAGAGTAAGAGTAGTTGCTGCAACAATTTAATGGCCATCCAGTGCCTCCTCCCCTTTTGTTGATAAACACTAACATCTTACAACACATCCTAGTACAACTTGTTTTTCTGTATCCTTCAAAAGCCTTAATTGCTGAAGAATTACATGGTCCATCATAAAGTAGTTTTAATGAAATTTGCGATCAGGCTTAAGCTATCCTCTTTGTTGTAGTGTGGCGTATCCGAGTTAAATGCAATTTTAATGTAATCACGATGAAAACACTTTTCTGAGTCTGGTTGTGCAGCAGACAGATTTGCAGCACCAGAGAGCTTGTATTGGGAATAGAAGAGGCTTTTCTGCTGTTTTTAACACCAGGTGGTTTGTCAGTTTCCTACATTTAAGGGATTTTGAATGCAGGCTCTTCAGCCTCCAGTTCCCTGATTATATTACCTTTATGTTACTTCTCCACATCCTGCCTTGCCCCTCTCTACCCAAATTAAAACTGTGCAAATAATCTATTCTGTTTAGCTGGCCGTTTAAAATCTGTGCTATGAACAGTTGAACAATCTTTCAAACATTATCTACTCAGTTTCTTTTAAATTCTGCAAGGTTCTGACTTCAGTGGATTTTAGCCTCCACAGGTCAAGGCTCCTGCTGCCGCCGCTGTTGCTGCTGCTGCAGACACTGACATCACTATACTGCATGAATGAAAAACAACAACGTGCTCCATTTCTTGCTCTCCACCTCCTTCCTTTTCTGCACACTCCTGTGTGTGTGTGTGTGTGTGTGTGTGTGTGTGTGTGTGTAAAGAGGTGTTATGCTGCATTTAAAACTACATTTAAAAATGTTAGATTAAGTGGATGGTGGCTCAAGGGATATGTATTTAGTATAGAGGCATATTGTTTACAAAAAGCTTCAAGTGCTATGAGCATTTGGGCTGGAGGTGACATAACTGAGCATTCAGTATTTTTTTAAATCTGGACTGGTGGTTATGGAAGAAAATACAGAAGCTTTAAACACTTTTCTTTGTAATTGTTTTACCAAGAAGAAGTAATGAAACAACATGATTTCCAAACATGTTAGGTTATTATTTCCCTCTTAAACATTCTTAATATGTATATTTACAGGGTTATGGCTGTAGTAATAAATGACACTCTGATTATTTCACAAAGCTGAGGAAAAGCTGATTTCTGTAAAGATGCAATCAAATTTTAATACTTTATAAAATTCAACAAGATGGCAATTTATTTTTGTAGCACAATTTTAGATGATTTTAAAGGGTATCATAACAAAAGATACATAAATCTTTACCTTGCTCTGTATAAGGATATGAACTTTTACAAATTAAAACTATCTTGTTTATGTATGTGGATCATATTTTTGTTTGTATTTTTAAAATTTCTTTTGTATTTTTAAAACTTCAAGGTTTGTTATTTATATTCATTTCTTTACTTCTGCCATTAGCAAAATGTCACCCTCCCCCTTGTTTGGTTCTGAAGGGTCTTGAAGTGGTGAATGACAAGCTGCTGAATGCATCCTCAGGCTCCCTGTGATGTGTTTGTAATAGATGTAAAATCATAAAGTATTATGCAAATAGTTATTTTTTTGTAATGGTAATACATAAAGTCTACCTTTGAGATAAATAGAACAACTCAAATGAGAATATAACAGGATGTTAGTGTTAAAAATTAATAATCTGTAAGCTAAAATCACGAGTAATATCCAAAAGAAAATAAAGTTGCTTCTTTATGAAACCTCAGAGCAAAACCTATGGATTTAGAAACATTACAAATGCTCACAATTTTACTGTGTAAGCTAAGATAGTAAGTAGCAACTGCAAATCCTTTTGTGGTTTTTTTTGTAAAGATTGAACATTAGGATGAATTAAAAATTCTAAAAGATATAAAAGCAGTTGCATTAGAGTACTCCGGATGGAGAATACTGCTTATTCTTAAGTGTACCAAATCTAGTTTAAAAAAAACATGGAAGAGCTTGTAATTTATATGGCTCCTTTTATGGAAAATAGCATGCGTTGATTCCTGATTTAACATAACATTTATTTAGGCCTAATGTGCTAGCAGATCACTGACTCTAGAGTGAAATTTGATTAGATTTTTTCATGATTATTATTGAGAGCTTTATTGTTTTATACATTAAAAAGTTATGATTACATTTTAAAAGAAAATACAAAGCCAGCCAGCATGTAATGTTGAATGACTTCATGTGTGTGTGTATGTCTTTGTGTTTTAATCAATTAATTTGCTTTCAGTTTTTTAATCTTTTCATTAAATTTCCCTCTTTGAGTCATTTTTGTGCTATGCCCAGTTTGTAGAATGCAACATTTTTAATTACTTTTTTTCCCCCCTTACTTTTTAGAGATACTTAGGCATTGTCTTCATATAGAGTTACTTCTCAGGCTGATATTCTTAGAAATTAAGGCCCTTCTAATGGCCCCCCTCTTTTAAAATTAATTTTCTTAGAGTGCTTAGAGGACCTTGTTTCAAAGCTTTCCTATAACTTGAGTAAAAATAGTTAAAAGTTGTGGGAGTTTTTGTTTTTTTTTTGTTTTTTCCTAAAATGGCAGGTTTCAAATACTGATTTTTGGGAAAGGTTATAGGCCTTTGAGAACTACACTAAGTATCAGCGGCATTGATTATTTAATAGCTTTTCCCATCAGTTATGGTGCATAAGATTTCTAGTTCAGTGAATTCAATAGAAAAGTGAATTTATATAAGTTATTCTTAACTGTCTTACGTTTAAAGATTGTATTCTTCTCAAATAAGGTATGCTAAGCCTATTGAATATCATACACCTAAGATACATAAAAGCACCTTTGTCAGTTTAACTCTATATATAGTTTTGTGTGTATATATTGAGCTAAAAATTATTTCATTATTTACAGTACTTTTTACAGAAGGACATGTCTTTCACTGCAGTCTACATTTCTTCAAGGATTTGATGCAAATTAGGATTTATGCATTGGGAAATGCTGAAGGGTAATGACATCCTTGTGGTCTTTTTTTTTTTTTTTATTTGTGATAAATGCAGACTAAATGTGAACAAGGAAACAAAGAAATAATTGGGCTCTGTGGCAATGCATAACAATGGAAATAAATGGCAATGTTCAATAAATGGCTAATAGGAGAAGGCTTTTCCTATGTCTGAAATTTAAACAAATTTCTAAAAGTCTACTTTACCAAAACTTTCACAT